AGCGCGCCCTACCCATTCACATCAATAATGCATCAGTGCGACAATACACTGAGTCAAATCACTGTGACTTACCCAGTGGTCCGAGAGTGGTTCGTCTTCTCCTCCTTCGTTTCTCCTGACCAACAACTACACCCAGTTTGTCCGTCACGTTCACCAACTCCTCTTCTCCAGGTGTCGTCGATTCGCCTACAACACACAACGAGAACACTCAGTCGACTAGCAAGTACGTGCACACGTCAATACCACCACAATCTATCCATCACTACCTCACTGTCTCTTACACACATCCACTCTACAAACATCTGCACAACTCACTCTCAATCACTCACTCACCAACCCACCCAATCAATCAATCACTCACTCAACACACACACACACACCAATCAACATCAAACACAACACATGACATTCATTATTTCACTCATCCACATCACTCAATCACACACTCAAACACTCAATCACTCTCTCACATACTCTCCATTCATTACACTGATTCACACTGTCTCAACCAGTCACACACTCTCTCACTCACTTATTCCATAAAACAGACATTCACTCAGTCAATCAGACAACTACACACATTCAATCACTAATCAAATCACACACATCATTCCACATGCATCAATCTGTTGATCAGCCACTATCAAACAACAATCATCAACGTGAACACACACAACACAAACACTTAACCACATGCACTACCCATTCACATCAATAATGCATCAGTGCGACAATACACTGAGTCAAATCACTGTGACTTACCCAGTGGTCCGAGAGTGGTTCGTCTTCTCCTCCTTCGTTTCTCCTGACCAACAACTACACCCAGTTTGTCCGTCACGTTCACCAACTCCTCTTCTCCAGGTGTCGTCGATTCGCCTACAACACACAACGAGAACACTCAGTCGACTAGCAAGTACGTGCACACGTCAATACCACCACAATCTATCCATCACTACCTCACTGTCTCTTCCACACATCCACTCTACAAACATCTGCACAACTCACTCTCAATCACTCAATCACCAACCCACCCAATCAATCAATCACTCACTCAACACACACACACACACCAATCAACATCAAACACAACACATGACATTCATTATTTCACTCATCCACATCACTCAATCACACACTCAAACACTCAATCACTCTCTCACATACTCTCCATTCATTACACTGATTCACACTGTCTCAACCAGTCACACACTCTCTCACTCACTTATTCCATAAAACAGACATTCACTCAGTCAATCAGACAACTACACACATTCAATCACTAAACAAATCACACACATCATTCCACATGCATCAATCTGTTGATCAGCCACAATCAAACAACAATCATCAACGTGAACACACACAACACAAACACTTAACCACATGCACTACCCATTCACATCAATAATGCATCAGTGCGACAATACACTGAGTCAAATCACTGTGACTTACCCAGTGGTCCGAGAGTGGTTCGTCTTCTCCTCCTTCGTTTCTCCTGACCAACAACTACACCCAGTTTGTCCGTCACGTTCACCAACTCCTCTTCTCCAGGTGTCGTCGATTCGCCTACAACACACAACGAGAACACTCAGTCGACTAGCAAGTACGTGCACACGTCAATACCACCACAATCTATCCATCACTACCTCACTGTCTCTTCCACACATCCACTCTACAAACATCTGCACAACTCACTCACTCACACAAACAATCTAACACTCAACACACACACACACCAATCAACATCAAACACAACACATGACATTCATTATTTCACTCATCCACATCACTCAATCACACACTCAAACACTCAATCACTCTCTCACATACTCTCCATTCATTACACTGATTCACACTGTCTCAACCAGTCACACACTCTCTCACTCACTTATTCCATAAAACAGACATTCACTCAGTCAATCAGACAACTACACACATTCAATCACTAATCAAATCACACACATCATTCCACATGCATCAATCTGTTGATCAGCCACAATCAAACAACAATCATCAACGTGAACACACACAACACAAACACTTAACCACATGCACTACTCATTCACATCAATAATGCATCAGTGCGACAATACACTGAGTCAAATCACTGTGACTTACCCAGTGGTCCGAGAGTGGTTCGTCTTCTCCTCCTTCGTTTCTCCTGACCAACAACTACACCCAGTTTGTCCGTCACGTTCACCAACTCCTCTTCTCCAGGTGTCGTCGATTCGCCTACAACACACAACGAGAACACTCAGTCGACTAGCAAGTACGTGCACACGTCAATACCACCACAATCTATCCATCACTACCTCACTGTCTCTTACACACATCCACTCTACAAACATCTGCACAACTCACTCTCAATCACTCACTCACCAACCCACCCAATCAATCAATCACTCACTCAACACACACACACACCAATCAACATCAAACACAACACATGACATTCATTATTTCACTCATCCACATCACTCAATCACACACTCAAACACTCAATCACTCTCTCACATACTCTCCATTCATTACACTGATTCACACTGTCTCAACCAGTCACACACTCTCTCACTCACTTATTCCATAAAACAGACATTCACTCAGTCAATCAGACAACTACACACATTCAATCACTAAACAAATCACACACATCATTCCACATGCATCAATCTGTTGATCAGCCACTATCAAACAACAATCATCAACGTGAACACACACAACACAAACACTTAACCACATGCACTACCCATTCACATCAATAATGCATCAGTGCGACAATACACTGAGTCAAATCACTGTGACTTACCCAGTGGTCCGAGAGTGGTTTGTCGTATCCTCCTTCGTTTCTCCTGACCAACAACTACACCCAGTTTGTCCGTCACGTTCACCAACTCCTCTTCTCCAGGTGTCGTCGATTCGCCTACAACACACAACGAGAACACTCAGTCGACTAGCAAGTACGTGCACACGTCAATACCACCACAATCTATCCATCACTACCTCACTGTCTCTTACACACATCCACTCTACAAACATCTGCACAACTCACTCTCAATCACTCACTCACCAACCCACCCAATCAATCAATCACTCACTCAACACACACACACACACCAATCAACATCAAACACAACACATGACATTCATTATTTCACTCATCCACATCACTCAATCACACACTCAAACACTCAATCACTCTCTCACATACTCTCCATTCATTACACTGATTCACACTGTCTCAACCAGTCACACACTCTCTCACTCACTTATTCCATAAAACAGACATTCACTCAGTCAATCAGACAACTACACACATTCAATCACTAAACAAATCACACACATCATTCCACATGCATCAATCTGTTGATCAGCCACTATCAAACAACAATCATCAACGTGAACACACACAACACAAACACTTAACCACATGCACTACCCATTCACATCAATAATGCATCAGTGCGACAATACACTGAGTCAAATCACTGTGACTTACCCAGTGGTCCGAGAGTGGTTCGTCTTCTCCTTCTCTGTCGATGTTGAGCGATCACTCTCCCCTGATGATCCGTCACGTTCACCAACTCCTCTTCTCCAGGTGTCGTCGATTCGCCTACAACACACAACGAGAACACTCAGTCGACTAGCAAGTACGTGCACACGTCAATACCACCACAATCTATCCATCACTACCTCACTGTCTCTTACACACATCCACTCTACAAACATCTGCACAACTCACTCTCAATCACTCACTCACCAACCCACCCAATCAATCAATCACTCACTCAACACACACACACACCAATCAACATCAAACACAACACATGACATTCATTATTTCACTCATCCACATCACTCAATCACACACTCAAACACTCAATCACTCTCTCACATACTCTCCATTCATTACACTGATTCACACTGTCTCAACCAGTCACACACTCTCTCACTCACTTATTCCATAAAACAGACATTCACTCAGTCAATCAGACAACTACACACATTCAATCACTAAACAAATCACACACATCATTCCACATGCATCAATCTGTTGATCAGC